GGCTGGTGGAGGAAGAACTGTAGATTCTGTTTTGACAGGGAACTCTGCCCACCAACTCCAATGTCTTCCCCTTCTTACTATTCTTTTTCTGCTTGTTAATATTCATACAGAATGGGACCAGCAGATGGTGCAATGGTTACATCACTGGACTCCCGCATAGCCAACCTCAGTTGAAGTCCTCAACCCAGAGGTTTGAAACTCATGCCAGGAGTGTGTGCATGCATGCCTAAAATCCTAAGAGGAGAATGGAGAAGGGATTGTGGTGTGGTCATCCCCCTTGGAGGGTGATTCCTCTCCTTCTGTCTCTCTAGTGAACACATATGCTCTATAACAAAAATCTTTCTAAAAAAAAATTCATATTTATTTATTTATAAGAATCTTTCTTTCGTTTTTCTTCCTTCCTTCCTTCCTTCCTCCCTTATTTTAATTTGACCAGAGAGGCAAGAATGAGAGAGAGAGAGAGAGAGAAAGTGAGAAAGCAAGCTGCCAGATCTGGGACTCAAATGGCAGTCGGCCATGTGGGAGTCCAGCACCCTTAGCCACCATGCCACCTGCCAGTCCCTATATTTAAAAATAACTTGCACTTATCACTGAACCACACAAGAGGAAATTTCAGCTGAACTGTTTTATATTCATTTGATCACAGAGTACCAGAGTGAGATATATGTGTATATAAAGGGTCTCCATGAAGTTCATGGAAAATGTAAGTTATGAAAAAATTCTTCATGGACTTCAAATATTGCTTGTACCAAAATAAACTCATACTTTAATTCCATTTTTCTATGAACTTTTTGCAGCCTACTCCGATTTGTCTTTCATTATAGCTACTCAATTTTAAAAGCTTCATATATATATATATATATAGAGAGAGAGAGAGAGAGAGAGAGAGAGAGAGAGAGAATCAAAGTTCATGGTACTGAAATTCTAGCAGATGGAATCAATGTGTGAAGACTATGTCACAGTGGTCATCAGTGCTCAAAAGAGCATTTGCATAGCCAAAGGTGGCATAGTGACCAAGGTGCTAGGCTCCCACACAACTGACTGCGATTCAAGTTTTGAACCTGGAGGCTTACTTTCTCTCTCTCTCTCTCACTCTCTCTCTCTCTCTCTCGCATATGTGCCCTAGTTTAAATTTAAAAAATAATAGCAATAATAAAAAAAAAAATAAGAAAAGAGCATTTGTTTTTTTTTTTTGTTTGTTTTTTGAGAGGTTTTCTCTATAGGGCGCATGCGCTCGCCAGACAGACAGAGAGAGACATAGAGACAGAAAGCAAGAAATCACCCCCCAGGGGGGATGGTCACGCCACAATCCCTTCTCCTCCATTCTCCTCTCAGGATCTTGGGCATGTATGCACACGCACCCAGCATGAGTTCTAAGCCACCAGGTCCAGGATACGAACCGCGGTCGACTACGTGGGAATCCAGCGACATAGCCATTACGCTAACTGCTGGTTCCCGTGTTTTTGGGGGGGTTTTCTGGAGAGGTTTTTGCTCTAGGGCACATGCACTCACCAGAAAGACAGAGAGATAGAGAGATAGAAAGCGAGAAATCACCCCCCAGGGGAGATGGCCATGCTGCAATCCCTTCTCCTTCTTTCTCCTCTCGGGATCTTGGGCACACATGCACACATGCCCGGTGTGAGTTTAAGCCACCAGGTCCAGCACTAGGACCGCGGTCGGCTACATGGGAGTTCGGCTACATAGACATTACACTAACTGCTGGTCCCAAAGAAGAGCATCTGTAAAGCCCTCTGACTCATCTCAAAGACCTAAGCCAGATTTTTCAACCAAAAGCCAGTAGCATCTGTCTTACTGTGGCTCACAAGTTCCTTTTTTCTCCCCTTCCTATTAAAAGTCTTTCTCAGGTCATTGGTTCTTGTTGTTCAATGAATTTGCAACAGATGCTTTAATTTACTAATTCTTAAAGAATTCACTAAATTAAAAGAAGTAATTTGGTCATTGAATTTCTAAGTAGTTAAATGTGATAATTTGTTAATCTAGATGTGGAGAGAGACATTATTTCAATGTAACCAATTCTATAATTATGTATATTTCTACTTTGCCCTCAGGAACTCTGTAGTACATTTACTGGCTCTTGTTTCAGTATGAAACAGTCATCCAATGAATGATGTCATCATTGGCACACTGTTCTTCCAACACTCCTGAGGGTCAGTTGAAGAGACAGGAATTGATTCTGTGCCATTGCTGTTTCTCTCCCTACTGAATGGAGTACCTCTAGTGGCTATTTGGCGACAGCTCTGACTTCCAAGTGACAGTTGTCACACTCTCTCATCTCTGACCTTCCATGTGGAATGGGATCTACCAGTACTTTAACGCCTTTCGTTCAGTCATGTAGTTTCCAGATTTGTTGATGTGTTATTTCCTTTTTTATCTATGTGTGTGTGTGTGTGTGTGTGTGTGTGTGTACGTGTGTGTGTGTGAGAGAGAGAGAGAGAAAGAGAGAGAGAGAAAGTGAGAGAAAGAGAGAAGTACTTTTTTTGACAGAATCTTGCCACACTGGGCTACCTCTGCTTCAGCCTCCCAGGCAGTCAGGACTATAGGTTTGTGGCATCACAGCTAGGCCTGTTATTTCCTTTTATTTTTATTTTTTTTTTTTTTGAGAAATGTTTTTATTTTACTTACACCAAATGAAAGGCAATGGTTCTATTCCAGATGATCATACTGCTACACTGAATGCTCTGTTGAGGTCATCAGGGAGGCATTGACAGCCACCACCACTGCAATAACAGCTAACATTTATTGAACATGCATTCTGTGCCGACCTGGGTTTTAACCTTCACATGTCTAAGGTTCTTGTAACTCTCACCGTAAACTCAATTGTGCCGAAGATTAAAATACATACCTTCAATGCCGGAAGGCATATGCACTCACCAGAAAGAATGAGAGAGAGAGAGCACATACCCAGTGGAGCATAGTCCGACTACAATCCCTTCTCCTCCATTTCTCCATCCTGTCAGGATTTGGGGCATGCAGGAATAAGCACACAGCATGCTTTTCGATCCACAGGGGACAGAATTCAAACCATGATCAGCCATATGGGATCTGATTCCCTTAACCATGGAGCTACAGGGCCAGGCCTAAAGAAATTATTTTGATCATCCCTATTTTATATATGATAAGCCTGAGTCCAAAGAGGGTGAGTAACTAGCCCAAGGCCTTGCGACTAAGACAGGACAAACATGAAATTTAACATATGCTTTCAAACAGCTCTACCCCCTACATCTAAACAGAAGCTTTAGAGGCCTTCAAAACATAAAACTGAGACATTTTGAACATTTTGAACAAGGCTTCTGCCTGCAAACATTCACCCTTTTTGCTGCTGTGACCCTCAACCACAGGCTGTTTTGGCTGTCTTCCACATCGGTCATAGAGCGATCCAAATCTGGGCACGAAACCTAACTCTTACGCTGTGCATAAAAGCAAAATGTGTAGCACCATAATACTGCCCTTTCTGGTTTAAAAATGACCAATTTAGCTATAAAAAGGTCATTAATAATTCACATGTGACAAAATAAAACAGGAAACAACCTTCTCAGGATGCCATGGCTGTCTCAACCCGTTGAGACATCTAGAGACAGGAAAGTACTAAGAGACGCTCATTATGGTAGAAGGACATCGTTGGCTTCAGAGTACCCTTGTCCCTCACTCCAGGTATGGAAACTACTCAGCCACAGTTCTGCCCTAAAGGGCTGATCCACACCCACAGGAAATTGATATGCTTTCCCTTTGCAGCTAATACCCCCTAATTGAGTTGGGGCACCTTGTCTAGTTCCTGACACAATGGCGGACATCATTCACTAAATCACAGCACTCTTTCTCACTAAACCTAAATGTAACCTCAGAATCCTTCTCAACACAGTGACTCAGGAACACACTTCCTAGAACATCTGAATCCATTCGCCACGTTATTGTCCTATGTGTCGTGTGTACAAAATGCCACAGTTAGAACAGGGAGCTCTGGTCCCAGATAATGTAGGCCACATCCCCAAGACAACCTCACAATGGAAAGAAAGCAAGCCACTACATTTTTTGCTTTTCTCACCAAAGTTGAGGGGACTTCCAAAAGTTGGTGGAAGATGGCATTCAAGTATGAATTTATGTTGGTGCAAGAATTTTGAAATCTGTACGCAGTTTTCTCATAATATGCATTTCCCATGAACTTTTGGAAGACCCCTTAGATTCCAAATCACCTGTCTACAGACAGCAAAGGAGAATCTGCAACAAGCTTCTTACAAATTATCCACCAGCTACCTCAGAATGCCATTTTAAAAATACAGATTCCTGAGCCACACCCCAAACCCAAATTAGAATTTCTAGAAAGGTAATTTAGAAAGCTTTAAAAACAAGCAAACAGAAATCCCTAGTTGACTCTGATGTCTTCCTTAATTTGTGAACAAACACTTTTATAAAAAGAATCTTACACTGAATTCAAATGAAGTAACCTCTAAGCCCAGGTTCAGCCACAGACAACTGTGAGATTTTGGACGAATCCCTAGCTTTTCATGGATTTTAGGTCCCTCATCTATAGAGAAGGAGGTTGGATGAGTTCCACTTGGAAGATTCATCCCATGAATGGAGTGAGTTCTTGGTCAAAAAACAGACCCTCTTCCAGATGCCTTCCCTTTATGGGGGTATTAATATGACCAGAAATGTCTGTACAAAATGTATTTGTGGATTCTTTTCTCATTTCATCTCCATGGTAGCTGATGTTGATGTGCTAAAACTTCAGGACTTTTTTTTTCCTGCTCTCTAATTGCAATTTTAATGCCTCCTATTTCTGCAGTTCTGACCTGCAATTAAGATCACTTTGTTTGCCCTGACTTTTTCTATGCAGCTTGTTCTCACTCTGATTTAGTTGCCTGTCAGGTGGGCATGTGTGTATATTGAGAACATGAATAGCCTGATTACCGAATAGCTCCCTTTGCTTATTTCTTGGACACCTACCTCTTATTCTCTCCATTTCAGTTGATTTTGTGGCAGGTTGTTAAAGTCCAACTTGGGCATATATCTTTGCTCCTCACCATGAGGTCGTTGGCCAGCAGCATCACTAGGGAGTTCGATAGCAGTGCAGCAAGGTCTTGACCCCACTCAGGCTATGTGTCCAAATCTCCATTTTGTTTTTCTTTTTTGTTAGAGGGTACATGTGCTCAACAGATAAAAAGAGGAAGAGGAGAAATCACCCCTACACACCCACATAGGGCATAGTTAGGACACAATCCACTGTCCTCTATGTCTCCTCTTTCCAGAATTTTGGGCATTTACACACATGCTGCTGGCCTAGGACTTGAATTGTGTTGTCAGCTAAGTGGGATCTGGCTCCTTTAACCAGCAGGCCTTGGAGCTGGTCCAGAATCTTCGTTTTGATAAGATATTGGGTGATTTGAATGACATGTAGGCAGGAGGCTCTCAACACTGTGGTTCATTAATTACCTGCATCAGAATTACATGCAGGCTTATTTAAAATGCGTAGTTCAGGGCTTCACTCCCAACTCTGTGAACCAAGAGACTAGAGAGCATTAAAAGCTCAGGTGATTCTGTACTAGAATTAAATTTAAAAAATCATGGCTCCAGCAAAATCCACTTTAAGGCGTTATTCGGCCACCCCCGACTATAAAGACATCTGCTTTGGGACACCTTGAACTCTCCCCAAAATCCATCTGTTGGTAAGATTATGGTTCTCCAGGAAACCCTGACTGCAGGGCATCAGGGTAAAACCCTTCCCTTGCACTTTAGGTCTCTCTGCTCCAAGAGATCAGAGAGTCTTAAACTCTAACACCCAAGAAAAACATCACCTTCTTCAGCACCTGTTAACTTAGTCTATTGCAGTAGTTTCCAAACTTGAACAAGCATCATAATCAGCATGAAGGCTTGTGAAGATGCAGATTCCTGGGCCCCACTTCTCCAGAGACTCTGATTCAGAACCTGCCTTGTTCACAGCTCCAGGTGACACTGATACTGCAGGTCCATGGCACATGCCTAGAGCTGCCCAACTCTGTGATGTGAACAGGGTCATTCTGTGAACGTGGACTGGAGGGTGTGGGCAATTTCTATAGTGCAATCTAGAATGTGTGCACCCTTCACAGGTGGGCCCACTGATAAAGCAGGTTGACTTGGTCAAACCCCTATGTGAGTTATCACTGGAGCAAGATATTTGAACTCAAGGATCCCCTGGGATGCCCCTTCCAAATCAGCTGCTTATCTCATTGCTCTCAAAGGTCTCACCAACACAATTTCTAATGAGCTGTCCTGAGATGACCACCTCTGCTGCTTTTCAGGCTTGGGCTTCTGATTAACCATTATCCCCTCTCCCTGATGGTACTGAGAAATGCCACAATCTGTCTTAAAGCCTGCATCAACCAAGTAGTCAAATCTCACACTGGCCAAGCAAAGGCAGGTTGCGATGCTGTAAGGCTATTCCTCGGGCTTTGTGTGTCTTTCAAATCTCTCCTTTGCCCCTCCCCACAGTTCCAAGAAAGCAGTAACTGCAAAGGTTCATTATTTGCACCCCAAATAACTGACCTGACCTTCAAAACATGTTTGCTTTTGAAAGAAAAAAAAGAGGCATAAAGAGTGATTTTCCCACTGAACCATTGCAATTTGATTGAACCCCGAGTGTACCCCCCTCCCAAAAATACATAGCCCATGAGCCAGGCTTCATATTCGTGTAAGAGGGAGTGAATGTAAGAATCATATTTTATAATCAATTTGCATTGAAGTAGAAAAGGCTTTATATCATGGTTACTTATTCTTAGTATAGCCTCAGTTCTGCTAAAATGCATTATCATTGCAACATGTAGAGATAACTATTGGAAGTCAAATCCGACTGCCTGTAGATCAAAATCAGTTCATAAAACCCAATGGAATTGGATACCTTTATAATGATATTTAACATTCCGAAAGATGAGAAAAAATTTTATTGCTTTTCCAAAGGTCAAGGGAAGCAGGAGTATTGAAAGACTACGGATGTTCCCTTCTATCAACTGTGTTTACAAGTTATGGGGCATACAATTTGCCTTGTCTAGCTGGCAGACCCTGCCTTGAAACAGTGGGATCATCTTACATTTGCCCTGCTCTTTTAATGTTCCAAAGGCATTTGCATCCATTACTTCATTTCATCTTCTCAGCATCCTCTGTCCCTTTCCAAGAACAGTTATTATCCTTCTCATTTATAGATCCAGAGCAGTTCAGAGCCTGGAGCTCAGCTCAGCAAACCCTGCAGAGCCAGTCACTTTCTATCACACCAGGTCCCTCCTGGCATCACTTTCAGGCTGATACCACTTTGCCCCCTGTTATGTAGTGGGATTTCCAGGCCCCTTTCCCCAAGGTGCTGGCTACTTTTATCTTTCCTCCAGAACCCGTCTCTGAAAATGTGCACATTATCTGCCCTTCCGCCCTTTTCTATATATTTTTTTTAAAGTTTATTTTCCTTCCCTTGAAAGAGACATACAAACAAACATCCAACAGAATCTTCATGCTAAGATCTACCCTCAGCCTTAGCCAACCAAGATCATGGGCATGTGTATACCTAGTATGTACAGAGGGGCTTGGGACACGAACCCTGGACTCTCCCATGTGGGTTCAGTATCACAGTGCATTGTGTTACTGCTGCAACAGCACCTGGATCCTCTTCTGCATCTTCAGGTTCATTGTCTCTGTCTCTCTCCTTCTTTTCCCTTCTCTCTCTATTCTCCTTCCTCCTTTCCTTCCTCTCTCTTCTCTCTTCCACTACCTTACGAATACTTTCTTCACAACTCTATTTCACCCAAAGGTGCATGTGGAGTCATGTGCCCTCCCACCAAGTGTCTGGCAATTGACTGAGAATCAAGGAATTTAACAAAAAGGGCTGAGTCTCTAGCTCTTGAGGGTTTCAAGAATCCAGAGCAGGTAGCTGACTACCGTTTGGTCCATCTGAGTCTATGCAGGTCAGCCTTAGAAAATGACCTCACATGACCAGAGCCTTCATTTTTTTTTTTTTTGGAGAGGCTTTTGTTATAGGGTGTGTGCGCTCACCAGAAAGACAGAGACAGAGAGAACAGAAAGCGAGAAATCACCCCCCAGGGGGTTATGGCCATGCCACAATCCCTTCTCCTCCATTCTCCCCTCAGGATCTTGGGCACGCATGCACAAGCGCCCGGCGTGAGTTTAAGCCACCGGCTCCGGAACTCAAACCGCAGTCGACTACGTGGGAGTCCAGTGCCATAGCCATTATGCTAACTGCTGGTCCCACCAGAGCCTTCATTGTCCATCTGTGTGTATTATTCAAATATACCTAAGAGAGGATAGATATTTAGGATGATAATAACTGAATGTTAGTTCTAAAGATGTACCTTTTTTCTAAAATTAGTAACACAAAGCAGTCCTGTTCCAGCTCTTTCAATAAGCCTCCCTGCGTTCCTTATTTCGTTCTTGTTCTCCCTTAGCCCAAAGCAGCAAGCCAAGATGGCGGAGTACTGCCGGCTGATCTTTGGGGATGCCCTCCTCATGGAACCGCTGGAAAAATACCCGGTGAGCACTCTAGATGTTAGCCCCTGAGGTAGTGCATGCATTATTTAATAAATGGGGTCTAGGAGAGACTTAGCCACTTCCTTCCATGTTTATATTTCTTGCTAAGATTAACATAGCTGAAAATGAATTCTTTGACCAAGAGGATATGGGGAGTGGGCCCTGCTGAGGGTGGACCACCTGTGTCTGCTCTCTTCTCCCTCCACAGCCATCTCTGTCCCTAACTGCCTGAGGTGACCCAGTCAGGAATGCAGACTTCCCAGCAATTACAGTCGGCCCCTCAACACATCCAAGAGGAGAGGGCCCTGATCACCTCCCAAGAACCTCATCACAACTCTCTGAGAGAGAAGAGCAGGCATAATGGGAAATTGCAGGTGGTGCAGGGACCTCTTAGCCTGTCCTGCCCAGGGTTGCCCATTCCTGGCATGCGCTTTTTGTTGTGCTACAACTCAGGCCTCTTATTGCCATGGCAACCACCCTGCTTGGGGATGAAAACCAGCAGAAATAGCCTAAAGTTGTCTCTTCCCTCTCTGAGTCCCTTTTGCTCAGTCTCTATACATCCTTAAATGAGTTCAGACCAGTCCCCGGGTTCATTGCAAGCAAAGAATAGAGGACTAACTTATAGGCATTCAATTGACTTTCTAAAAATACTACATCTTGTGGCTTGCACACATGCTGTCTGATACAATATCTAATAACCCTCTCATGGGAAATTGATTTTCCCATTAAATGTGCAAGCTTGAAACACTAGAAATAAGGCTTGCAAATATGATGGTTTGGATCTCAGGCTGGAAAGAAATTTGAAGCCACCTTGTTCACTTCTGCTGAGGCTAAGGAAAGGGACAGCAGGACTGTCTGGTTCCAGGATCGGGATTTTGCTGTTCTGAAGCTGCACTTGAAAAGACTCACTTGGAATCTCCTGGTCATCGTTACCAACTCATCTTGGCAGATGCTCAAATTCCCACCTTTGAAAATTCGGGTCAGGACTTTCTATCTGTTCTAAATTAAGATGGAAAGATTCATAAGGGTCCCTCAGAAAGCTCATGGAAGTTCAGGTTTAATACATCAACTCTAAGAGCACATTTCTGTGGTCTTATTCATGTGGATTTTGTTGTGGAAAGCATACTAACACAGTAATTAAAATACACCTTTGATATGAAAATAATAAGCCCTAACTGCCCCCATATAGGACACACTTAGAACAGGTCAATGAACTGTGTAGGAGGTGGTGAGGAATAATCTAGATACTCTTGGTCTCCAAAGCTGTTCTGGGAGTTTGGGGAGGGAATCTGCAAGAAGGGGGCACCAGTTTTTAAAGAATGTGCTTGTCTTTTCTGTTAGCTGGAATCTGGAGTCCCTCTTCCAAGCCCTATGGACTTAATGTATAAAATTTTGGTGAAAAATAAGAAGAAATCACACAAGTCATCAGAGGGAAGTGGTAAAAAGAAGCTCTCAGAACAGGCCTCCAACACGTACAGCGACTCCTCCAGCGTGTTTGAGCCCTCATCTCCGGGAGCTGGTGAGTACCTTGGTGTTCTGTGTTCTGTGTGTGTTCATGAACTGCTGCTGTGGGCCAGCCAGTATCATGGTGGTAAAGGCAGCTGAATCCCACATTGCTGACTGCATGGTTCGAGCCCTGGGCCTGGCAGCTTGAGAGATATACCAGGCGTAGGTGCATGCATGCCTAAAATCCTGAGAGGAGAACAGAGGAGAAGGGATGGCAGCATGGCCATCTCCACTTCGAGTGTGTTTTCTTTCTTTCTCTCTTTCTGTCTCTATCCCTCCCTTTCTCTCTGTCTCTCTCTGGTGAGCTTTATAGCAAATTAAAATGTGTGTGTGTGTGTGTGTGTGTGTGTGTGTGTCTCTGCTCTTGGAGCTGGTTGGTGGCACAGTGGTAAAATGAGATGCTCTGTGAGTCTAACCCACATAAGGAGGTTCTGGATTCAGATCTGGATACCTCCCTGAGCACCCAGGACACATGGATGCCCACCCATCTGGAGGTGGCTGACACTGGGGGTGATTGCAGCTTTGAGACCATGTTAGGGGTGCTATCTCCTTATTTCTCTTTCTCTCTCTCTCTCTCTCTCACTCATGGAAGAAATAAACTTTAAAAGGAAAAGAAATAAGAATTGCTGCTCTGAAATTAGCTTAGAAGGATTTTTAATATTTCTCTTTCAGCACAGTTTTAAGGTATATTATATTCTCTTGCCTGCTACAAATTCAGTGACTTAAAACTGTCTAAATGCATTGGCCTCCAGGTCTGAAGGCCCATAGGACTCCTTGGGCTAAACCTCAGGGGTCAGTAGAGCTGCTGGAGGCTCTGAGGAAGAATCCTTGTGCTTGCCTTTTCCAGTTTCTAGAGGCCACTTGCATTCATGGCTCCTGGCCTCTGGCTCCAACCTCAAAGCCACCAATGTTGCATTTCATTAACTTTTCTGTGGTCCCAGCTTCCTCTCCTCACAGCCAGGAAACAGTCTCTGCTTCTTTGGACTCATGCAATTACTTTGGACCTTTGCAGATACCCCCCCCCCCATCATCTCCCCCTTCTCAAGGGCTGTAACTAATTTCATCTGTAATGACCCTTTTGTCATGCAAGGTGACACCTTCAATAGGACATGCACATCTTTGAGAGGCCACTATTCTGCCAAAAAAAGCCCAGTATCCTTTGAGTGAATACATGATTTTAAGCTTCTTTTTTTTCTTTTCTTTTTTTGGAGAGATTTTTGCTGTAGGGCATGTGTGCTTGCCAGAAAGACAAAAAGCGACAGAGAGATAGAAAGCGAGAAAGCACCTCCCCGGGAGGATGGCCATGCCACAATCCCTTCTCCTCCATTCTCCTCTCGGGATCTTGGGCACGCATGCACACACGCCTGGCGTGAGTTTAAGCCACCGGGTCCAGGACTCGAACCATGGTCAACTACATGGGAGTCCAGCGACATAGCCATTAAGCCAACTGCTGGTCCCATGATTTTAAGCTTCTTCTATGGAAACAATAACTATAGGATTGGGCATAAGACATTCACTGAATGCATTCTCAGGGATGATAGACTGAAGAATTCTTTCCACATGTTCATATTTTGCAAAGCCTTTTTAAAATGAGAAATAGCAAACTTACTTGAATCACCTGTCAGTGCTACCAGGTGATTCTTAATACCTTTAATTTTCTTTAAATTTAGGTTGAAGTAGATTATTCGTTTGACGAAAAAAAAAAAGATTCAAATAATTTATCATTTGGTTTGCTGATGTTCGCAGTATTGGGAACTCAAGTAACCTTATTCAAGGCTAATTGTCACTCGTCTCCTTTGAATGATGTGTCAGTTAGGTTCATCTAATTTATTGTATTTTCCAAGTGCAGTCAAAATCCTGGCAATCTGAAAACTTTAATCAGGACTTTTTCTGATTAAAGGTGACTTAAGTGGAGGAAACTTAAAAACCTGACTCTAGGAAGTTCTTCAATTAAAAGTTTAACTAACAGAAATAGGCCTGTAGCCTATTGATTAAGACCAGATCTTTCATGGCTGACCACAGTTCAAATTCTGACCTTTGTGGTTTGAAAAAAAACCTGCTAGGTGTGTGTGTGCATGCATGCCCAGAATTCCAACAGGATGGAGAGATGGAGGAGAAGGGAGGGAGGCTTCTGTCTCTCTCTCTGTATCTTTCAGGTGAGCAGATAGGCCCTCTACAATAAAAAGAAAGAAAGGAAAGAAAAGAAAAGAAAGAAAGCTTTATTGAGTTGTTAGAAAAGTCATGACAAATTTTTTTTCTTTTTCTATGCAAAAATACATCATGATTTTTTCAATAACTCAATAACAGAAACAAATACTTTGGAAAACTGCTTAGCATTATTTAGAAAAGCTGAACATGTGTCCCTTCTGTGCCCCCAGGAATTCCATTTTGGGGTATATACTCAAGTGAAATGCATGTGAGAGACTTCAAAAAGTTTGGGGCAAAATGGAATTAAAATCTGAATGTATTTTGCCGAAAAAGATTTTTTTTAAATCTATGAATGAAAAATATGCATTTTCTGTGAACTTTTTGAAGACCCTTCACATGTATATTTACTAAAGAGACTTACAATAATTGCTGAAAGCAGCACTATTCAGAAGAATGGAAACCAACAAAAATCCATCAACAAATCAATACATTGTGATATATTCACATAACAGGTTAGCATGCGGCAGAAAGCAGGATCTGCAAACACAGATAGAAATATGGATGAAACTTATAAAGAATGTTGAGCAAAAGAAGTCAGATATAGCAAAAAAGCACATACTGTATGATTCCATCTGTATAAAGCACAAGAACAGGTGAAACTAAAATGAATCTCTGCCAGTGGAAGTCAGGATAACAGTTACGCTTGGATAAAAGGCAACTGTGAAGAAACCCAAGGGGCTTCTAGAGACTGGTTCTGTTTTGTTGCTTTTTTTTTTAACTTTTTTTATTGTTTTCTATGAGAAAGAGAGAGAAAAACAGAACCCCTAACATAGACTTGACCCTGCAATCCACCGCAACTTCAGTCAGACCCAGACCATGGCACCTGTATGCCCAGCATACCCAGGGAAGTCTCCAGATGCAGACCTGGAACCTCCCCAGTGGGACAGCCTCACAGAGCGTCAGATTTTTTGCCATGCCACTGTCTCACTCCACCATTTTGTTTATTAACCTGGGTCTGGGTTACTCAGACTGGCAGAAATTCATTGCACTATACCCTTATAATGTGTGTACTATTTACAAAGCGTATGTCTGTACATTAACTAATTTCAAAACTAAAATATAGGGACCATAGTGGTTAAGGCACTGGACTCCCAAGTGGTCAACCACAATTCAAGTCCTGGACTGAGCAGCGTGAAACTCATGCCGGGCATATGTGCATGCGTGCATGCCCAAAATTCCGAGAGTGGACTGGAGGAGAAGGGATTGCAGCATGGTCATCCTCCTTGGGGGATGATTTCCTGCTTTCTATCTTTCAGGCAAGTGCATGCATCCTATAACAAACATCTCTCAAAAAAAAAAAAAAGAGAGAGAGAGGGAGAGGAAGGAAGGGAAGAAAAAAGAGAAAGAAGGAAGGAAGGAAGGAAGGAAGGAAGGAAGGAAGACAGGCAGAAAGACAGACAAACTAAATATAAACTCTAGGGCAATCAGAAAAACAAAAAAAGTCGACCAAGACAGTGATTTATCTTTTCTTCTTTTGGTCTCAATCGCCTATTGCTTTCATTATCCAAAGAAAATTCGTATCAATAGACATTACATAATTCTTTGAAAGAGTTTGGTTTTGTGCCTTGTTAGTGTACGGTTCAAACATTATGACTCGATTCCGACTCGTTTTTCAAAAATAACTTTTGTTCTCAGTGAGAATGTTCCTTTTGAAGTTTTGCAGTAAATACCACGAACAGGCTTATCAGTAACAGGCCACCTATTTCCCAACACAGTTCTGTCCCATGAATGCTAGCAAACAGACCCTGTCTTCCTTTGCATGTGGGTGCTTATTTTTTTACCATCTGCCTTTCGAGCTACCAGTTCTCTCCTTACTTACTGGCTGCATAACACAAATGACGGTTTTTGCAGGCAGTGAACGTTGTTGCTTAATACCGAGAAAGAGCAGCGATCTGTGAGTAATTGGTAGGTTTCCTAAGCCAGGCTCGTTGTCAGTTGTGCAATCACGATTTACTTCAATGGAAATTTTTGGACATTTTAATATGTAGGGAAGGATAAAGAGCACTGATAATTTGCCATTTGGTTTGTAGCTGTTCCTGGTACTAGGAACTCAAGAAACTTAGAAAACATGAAACGGCCCTTATTTTGAAGTTAATTCATTTATCATGACTCCTGTTGGTCAGGTGCCTCCTCAGGATTCAGCCCTTTGCTAATACATTTGTCTGAAAGAACTAGGGTAAAGTAAATTTTTGTTTGTTTGTTTGTTTGGTTGGTTGGTTTTTTTAGGTTTTTGTTAAAAGGCACATGCTCTTGTCAGAGCGAGACAAAGAGAAAGAGTGAAAGTGAGAAAACATCCCTGCTCTCCGGGCTAGGCTACATTGCAACTCCTCCACCATTCTGCTCTTGGGATTTGGGGCACCCAAATGCACACACACCTGGCCTGATTTTTAAGCCTCTGGTTCCGAGTCTTAAACTACAGTTGGTCATGTATGAATCCTGCACTTTCATCTTCATGCCAACTATTGGCAGCTAAAGTAAGATTTTTAAAGGTTATTTGTTCATTTCTTCCCATAGAGAGAAAAGGAGGGTCTGCATACTGCAGTCTATCCTCAGCCTCAGCCAGCTGGGCAGAATAATGGGCACACCCTGCATGCACAGGGCACCCCTGGGGCATGAAACCAGTCCCCTCTGTGTGGGTCCAGCATCAAGGGCTTTACAATACCACTGCACCACCGTGACTGGTCTGTTTTAGTTTGGCAAGATTCCTCTAAAGGCTCACGAGAGAAAAAGCCAGTCTCTGCTCTTCTAGCAGAGAAAGACAAATTCTTTCTTTTCTACATAAATCAAAGGATGACCAGATTGAATGTTTGAAATGACTATTGTATTGTGTTCATGAAGTATTTTATAGACCCTGCCAAATAACTCTTTAAATTACTTGATTTAAAGAGTCTTTTCTCCGGGACCAGCAGCTGGCGTAATGGTTATGTCGCTGGACTCTCATATAGTCAACCATGGTTCAAGTCCCAGACCCGGTGGCTTAAACTCATGCCAGGCACATGTGTGTGCATGCCCAAGATGCCAAGAGGAGAATGGAGGAGAAGGGATTGCGGTTTGGCCATTCCCCCGGAGGGTGATTTCTCGCTTTCTGTCTCTTTGTCTCTCTGTCTGTCTTTCTGGCAAGCACACACGCCCTATAGCAAAAACCTCTCCAAAAGAAAAAAAAAAAAGAAGAATCTTCTCTCTGACTTAAAAATAAATAAATAAAATAGCTTAGGGCAAAAATTTTATAACAAAACATATTTGAATGCCAACACTTTAAAAGAATGTCTCTAACATAATAAGATATGTTTCCTATCTAAAATGTAATTAATTCACCTTATTAACTAACATAATGTCAGCATTATAAGGCAGATTTTTTGTGACTTGAATAAACAAGCCATAAATTATACCCCTTGTTGGCCCCAGAAATCTATCCTCTCTGAAGATATTCTATAAATACTTTGCTCACCACTATCATTCGGTAATTGATTAAACTTTGTCAGCCAAATGGAAACATTATACATTTCTTGAAGTCAGTCCTGTGGGTATTGTGTCATCTCTATAGATTGAGTAGGGCGGCTAACTTTCAGAAGGCTGGGGGTCAGGGGAACAACGCATGCCCATGCAAGTTGCCTTATCGTTGAGCCAACATTGCCACCTAATGGGAAGATCGCGTTATTGCATTGTGTGAATTCCATAGTAAAACAGTTTACAGTGGATCTATGCCTTCTTTGCTTCTTACTGGAAAATCTTTTTACATAACTGATGTTACTGGATTTTACTGATGCCCAGAACTGGGGAAGAATATATTGCTCATATCACTATGAATCGTTTTCATGATAAAGATGGTGTATGTGAGAGAGAAAGGGAGAGAGAAAGATAGGTTTGACAGGGTCTCATCACACCTCAGTCCGCTCTAAAGGATGACCAGATTGAATGTTTGAAATGACTATTGTATTGTGTTCATGAAGTATTTTATAGACCCTGCCAAATAACTCTTTAAATTACTTGATTTAAAGAGTCTTTTCTCCGGGACCAGCAGCTGGCGTAATGGTTATGTCACTGGACTCTCATATAGTCAACCATGGTTCAAGTCCCAGACCCGGTGGCTTAAACTCATGCCAGGCACATGTGTGTGCATGCCCAAGATGCCAAGAGGAGAATGGAGGAGAAGGGATTGCGGTTTGGCCATTCCCCCGGAGGGTGATTTCTCGCTTTCTGTCTCTTTGTCTCTCTGTCTGTCTTTCTGGCAAGCACACACGCCCTATAGCAAAAACCTCTCCAAAAGAAAAAAAAAAAGAAGAATCTTCTCTCTGACTTAAAAATAAATAAATAAAATAGCTTAGGGCAAAAATTTTATAACAAAACATATTTGAATGCCAACACTTTAAAAGAATGTCTCTAACATAATAAGATATGTTTCCTATCTAAAATGTAATTAATTCACCTTATTAACTAACATAATGTCAGCATTATAAGGCAGATTTTTTGTGACTTGAATAAACAAGCCATAAATTATACCCCTTGTTGGCCCCAGAAATCTATCCTCTCTGAAGATATTCTATAAATACTTTGCTCACCACTATCATTCGGTAATTGATTAAACTTTGTCAGCCAAATGGAAACATTATACATTTCTTGAAGTCAGTCCTGTGGGTATTGTGTCATCTCTATAGATTGAGTAGGGCGGCTAACTTTCAGAAGGCTGGGGGTCAGGGGAACAACGCATGCCCATGCAAGTTGCCTTATCGTTGAGCCAACATTGCCACCTAATGGGAAGATCGCGTTATTGCATTGTGTGAATTCCATAGTAAAACAGTTTACAGTGGATCTATGCCTTCTTTGCTTCTTACTGGAAAATCTTTTTACATAACTGATGTTACTGGATTTTACTGATGCCCAGAACTGGGGAAGAATATATTGCTCATATCACTATGAATCGTTTTCATGATAAAGATGGTTTATGTGAGAGAGAAAGGGAGAGAGAAATATAGGTTTGACAGGGTCTCATCACACCTCAGTCCGCTCT